CTATGTGTAATGTACAGGTCTTATTGTAGAGTAGTGTGTATGTGCATTCTATGCTACAAACTATGTGTAATGTACAGGTCTCATTGTAGAGTAGTGTGTAAGTGAATTCTATGCTACAAACTATGTGTAATGTACAGGTCTCATTGTAGAGTAGTGTGTGAGTGCATTCTATTCTACAAACTATGTGTAATGTGCAGGTCTCATTGTAGAGTAGTGTGTAAGTGAATTCTATGCTACAAACTATGTGTAATGCACAGGTCTCATTGTAGAGTAGTGTGTATGTGCATTCTATGCTACAAACCAGTTTGGTTCTCCACATAAAATAAATGAAAATAGGCATTATCAGTGATTTAACACATGAAATATATTGATGTATCGTAATACCAATAATGAACTTGCACCACAGCGCCATATTGAATTCAGAGTCACTCAATGAATATGACATTATTGTTCATTTGTCATTGTTATACTATAGAATACTTTATTTTCGCTTGGAATTTATTTTCGCTGCAGGGATGCTTCAGTGAAAATAAATTCCAGCGAATAAACTTTTTTTCCTATGTCTCAAATTCAACTTGTCAAAAATCAGTGAAAATATATTCCATACAAAACACTAAAAAAAGCTTTTTCAGCGAAAATTAATTCCAGCGAAAATATAGTAGTATTCCACAGTAATTAACATTCAATAGTGTGTTTCCACAACTTTTGTAGAATCTTCTCCTAATCCAATGTATGTAATATCATTTTGTACACTGCTCAGATATCAATGAATGCGAGTCTGGATATAATCCTTGCCAACAAGGTAAAGAATGTAAGAATTTAAAAGGAGGTTACCGCTGTATAAATGCATGTGAAGCAGGATTGGAGAGAGGGCGAAATGGTACATGTGTTGGTGAGTCAAACATTTTAAATTATTATTTTATTCATTATTACCTTGCCTGTAACATCAAAGATGGAAGGGAAAGATATATTAAGAGAAAAATTTCCAAACCCCTGTATTATGCGTAAGTAACAGATAACATTTTTACCTTGCCCGTAACATCAAAGATGGAAGGGAAAGGTATATTAAGGGAAACATTTCCAAACCCCTGTATTATGCGTAAGTAACAGATAACATTTTTACCTTGCCCGTAACATCAAAGATGGAAGGGAAAGGTATATTAAGGGAAACATTTCCAAACCCCTGTATTATGCGTAAGTAACAGATAACATTTTTACCTTGCCCATAACATCAAAGATGGAATGGAAAGGTATATTAAGGGAAAAATTTCTGTCCGGCGTTGTCGTTATTGTTGTCGTCGTCGTTATTGTTGACGGCGTCGTCGTCGTTGTTAATAATTGTCATTGTGTATATAACCTTTCATTGGCTACAGATTTTAATCACAAGTTTAAAAATAATATGGATAAAATGTTGTGGCTTTACCTTGTGACAAAAGTCGACTTTAGGTTCAGAGGGGTAAAAATCCAAAACCAGAATTATTGTCTAGAAAGGCTTCGATCTATATGTACATTGTGTTTGAATGTGTTTATATATAGACTTTAATAAGTGTTGTGGTAGTTTGCATGGGTCGTTTTTAAGCATTTGATGTACTGTAAAACACTTTATTTTTAGCTGAAAAAGGTATATTCACTGGATTTTATTTTTACTGAATCAAAATTAGTGAAAATCTATTCCTAGTGAGAATAAAGTAATTAATTGTGAAAACAAAAATAAAACATGGTTTTATTCAAGTTTAAAAAAAAGCAAAAGAAATACTACAAATACCCAAGGAAGGGCTTATTCTTTTCCACGAAACGAAACTCTAACCCTAACCCTAACTCGCATTTTTTTTCATTGGCCTAATAATATCTGAGAAAATTTCACACTTTGAAACATGAAATGAATAGCGCCATTAGTGTTCAGTAATTCCAAAATGGCTGTCATGTCATGTCAGCACAAATGAATCGAACTGCAAAGTAGGCGGAAAAGAGGTGGAAACTAAATATTCTCACAAATTTATTTCTGTGACGTGGCGATATTTGAAGTTGTTCAAAATTTTGGTTTAATTTCATTTTTTTTTTCATGTTTCGTTTCATTTCGTTTCCTGGAAAAGGCTAAGCCCAAGGACACAGCAAAAAAGCAAAAGACATGATACAAATACCCAAGGATGCAGCAATGTATTCACAGACTAACACTGAGTGTTTTTTGTTTTTCTTTTAGATATTAATGAGTGTCATGTAGGAAGTCATGACTGTAGTCATAACCAAGTTTGTCTTAATACATATGGTAGTTACACCTGTTTGTGTCCACGTGGATTTAGATCTCAGGGCAGAGGTAAACCATGCATAGGTGAGTGTCCTTCTTGCACAAGTCATTCAGATTATTTTATCTGTGTCAAA